CCAGCTCTACTGCACGTCGTGCGGATTTAAATGGATGCCTCCGTTGGTCTTTTTTTTTTTTTTTTTTTTTCTTTTTTTTGTCTTTTTGAGACAGGGTCTCCATGTAGCCCCAGCTGTCCTGGAACTCACTATGTAGACCAGGCTGGCCTCGAACTCACAAAGATCCGCCTGCCTAGGTTGGGATCCTCTTCCAGGTCGATTGTTTTTCAAAGGGATGATTCAAGTTTTCCTGAAATAAAGAGGTTTTTACAAATATTTCCATCTTAAAGGGGGAAAACATGAATTTACAGTTCTACATTTTCTAAAGTAAAAGCTGCAATGAAATGTCAGGACCCTTGGGGCAAGAGAAACTCCTGTTTAATTATGCTGAGGGGAACTAAGGCCTTGAGTTTACTGATTAGATGTCGTTTTGAAGTTTCGCAACAAGATGTTGCAATTATGAGTTACTTATTGCTCAAGTTTCCCGCTTGACGCATATTTAACACTGTCCTTTTCTGTTCACCTACTTCCGATTATCCATCCCGGTCCACGCCCTTCCTGCAAGGAAAACAGCAAAGCTTCAATAAGACTGGAAAGCTTGGCTTCCACTGCCGCCTATGCGCAATAGAAGCGAGTGATCGACGTCACTGAGACCCGCCCCTACATATTAGCAACGGAGGCGTCCATAGCAGCAGTGGCCGCGGCGATGTACGAACTTCCGGTTGTTGCCGCCGCTGGGGCTGCTGCAGTCTCCGCAGGCTCCACCACCTGCCGCCGGGGCTCTGGGCCAGGGCATTTGCTCCTTTTCCGGCCCGGCACGCCCATGTTCGGGGTTACGCACAGTGGGGCCCGCCGGGTGGCTGCGGCGTGGTGAGAGGGTGGCGTAGGGACGATGGAGGCCCCGCACGGCTGCTGCAGGCCCGGAGGTCTCCTGGCCCCCTTCGTCATTCTGCTGGTACTGCCCACACTGAGCGGGCCCGGGTCGCCGCTGTGGCCGGCAGCCGAGGCCGCGCCAGGTCCCGGACCTCCTGACCCCGGGCCGCGGACGCTGCCGCTGCTGCCTCCCGGCCCCACCGCCGCCCAGCCGCCTGGCCTCTCTCAAGCGGAAGCCACTAGGCCTCGAAGCGCGGAGGGCGGCAATGGCAGTAGCCCCGGGGAGGGGCCTGAGGCCGACGGCCCCGGAGGGAAGGCCGGGGAAGGCTCTGTGGGTGGCAGCCTGGCTGTGAGCCCCAACCCTGGCGACAAGCCCATGACCCAACGGGCTCTGACTGTGTTGGTGGTGGTGAGCGGCGCGGTGCTGGTGTACTTCGTGGTCAGGACGGTCAGGTGAGGCCTAGCCTCCAGGGGCCCCCTAGGGCCTAGTGACAGGTGACCTCCATCCTGCAAAGCTTATTTCTCTGGCCCTGCCTCCCCTCCCTTCCTGCCTGCAGCAGCATCAGCTACTGCAGCCTAAGCAAGTATTGGCTGTCTTAAAGGTCTGCTGTTACCTTTGCTGTTGACACAAATTGATGCCTTTCATTTATAAATTAGAGCTCTGCCCCCAGCATCTCTTCGTATTGCCTGAGGCTTCGGCCTTAAAAGATAAACTTTTACCGGAAGTACATCTCCCATTCAGTGAAATTTCCATCACAGCATCTTGCAATACTTTCTCCTAGGTACTCTCTTCATTTTCCTGTAACTAACTTGTCAACATTTTGCCTGTTAAAATGCACTGAAAGTGGAGGGCTCATATTTGTAAGGATTAGAGTTCCATTGGTTAGTGCAGAAGGGCCTAATGACCAACTCATTTTTATAAAATTTAGAAGAAAAGGTCTTCCTTACCAACTGTGTTTCTTAGTGCTGTCCTCAATCTCTTCCTAGGTAATGAAACTGGACCCAGTTAATTGGGATCCATCTCTCTGAAGAGGTGTCACCCACAGCCATACCCAACAGAAGGAGCCAGACCAGAGAACTGAGACAAAGCAGACTAGCACTTACCATCTTCCTAAAATAAGAGGAAAGGGCATTTTGTGAGATTGTACTAGCTTAAGGTTTTCAAACTTCATACTTTCTGCCTAATTACATAATTATCATTATTTAATATGTTATACAACCATTTAAAACAAAAGTTTGTTTTTTAATACTTCTTAGTGGAAAACATGACTTTAGTGGCAGATTAAAAAGGTACCACAATTCTGACATGTGGTCTAAGGAATCTTAGGAAATTGGTTTCTCTGACACATCTTAGTTGTCTACAGTATTAAAACTATTCTCTTGTACAAACATATAAAGTACAAGACTTTATTACATGGTTTTAGATTCTGCATTGCAGTTGATATTAAGCAAATACCTCTGGTCAAGTTTTGGTGTACTGTCAAGAAAAGAATAGCCAGTAATATCAGAAAAAAGGTATGAAAATGCTTCCTCCTCTTCCAAGTTCATATGTATGTGAGGTTGGATTTACTTTTTATCTTTTAACGTGTTATCTCATTGCAAATGATTGGATACAAAAGCACACTTGAAAATATAGTGTTTTCTTTTTTTCTCTTTTCTGTCTTTATTTTTCATTTTTAATATTTGAATATTTTTTATTTTCTATGTGTATGAGTGTATTGCCTGCATTTATGTAAACCCACCTGTCATGCAATGCCCATAGATGTCAGAAGCAGAAGAGGGTATCAGATACCCTGTTATTGGAGTTACAGAGAGTTGTTAGCCACCATGTGGGTGCTGGGAACCAAAGCTGGGTCCTCTGCAGGAGCAGCTGTGCTCTTAACCACTGAGCCACCTCTCTAGCCTCATTTATTTTGTATTACTTTAGCCCAATTATTAAAGGAATTTTGTGGGGAAATAAATCATTCCTTTCACCATTTTTATTTTCATTGATAGTAGTTACATTTTATAGACAGTTAACATCATTATTTTACATTATTTAAAATTTCCAGGCTTCACTGTTACTGTTAGATATTGATATTTATAGTCCACTTTAATAAACCCTCTGTGAGCCCTGAATAACTTATAAGAGTGCAAAGGAATTCAAAATATTTGAGAACCACTCCTGTAAGCAATATTATTGAGCTAGAAGCTAGTGATTTACAAAAGTCAGCAAATCCAGGCCCACTCTCTCTCACAGCTAGTTAGAAAATGTTCAGCAGGCATTAAAAACTTATTACCAAATTAAAACTTTCTTGATGTAAAAAAGATTAATGGAAAATGAAGTCATTTTTCTCACTATACTATTGTTATTTAATACTGTGTATGTTCCTACATACATATAAAATTCCCAAAAACATTATTATTTTACCTGTACATATAAAATGTGGATGATAATTTTCTTGGTATGTTATTGTTTCTTTGTCCCTTTAGTTGGGCCTTTATTATAATTCTCTATACAAATGTACACTGCCATTGATTTTTCTATGCTCATTGATGTAAAACTTGAAAGAATTCAGCCTTTTCATATTCTACTGGATGATTCAGTATCATGTTGGATGAGAAGAGCCAAATTGAGAACTATGACTAATAAAAACTGCATACTTCAGGCAGCATCTAACACATTGGTGTAGGCCAAATTCTAAATTTAGTTGGGTGCCTAGCATCCAAAGCTTGATTGATGCTAAGTATTTCTGGGCAATATTCAGAACTCATACTTTTTACTTCCAGATTATGCTTTTCATCCTCGTTTTAGTGGATGATTATTTTGGCCGCCTTTCTAAAAGATTTATGACAGTGAACCAGCATTTGTTGTTTGTGCCAAGGAAGATGAGTGTGCCCTGATCATTCCCTTAACTGATAACAGGAGGTGATACAGTGAATATTTTACTTGTAAAATTTATTATATCAAGCTCTATGAGACTTCAAAAATGTTTTAACCTAATTCAGGTATAATGAATATTTAGATAGAAATTACTTCAACTTGGAATCTAGAAATATTTTGAACAACAGCCACATTATTTCTGTTTAGGGTCTTGAAAAGTACATTAAAGAAGCTCAGTAGGGGGAGAATAGACTTACTAATATGAACACAGTCTCTCTGTGAAGATAGTTCTTGTGTGTTCTATTCTTTATTGTATGTCCATAGATAAACATTTAGTATTTTGTAAAACATATAGTGAGCACACAGTTGCCTAATGAGCCCTCTTAGTTTAGTCCTTGTATTGCTGAAAAGGTAAGTGTTAAGGATTAGAAACTTAAAGGATAATTGCTTGCTGATAGAATAAAGGAGTATAAGGGTCTTAATTAATACCTAAGATTTTTCTTCTGTAGGACATTCTTCTTATTTCAAAAGGTGTAAAGCTAGAAAACAGTTATAAAGGGTTATTACAAATATCAAGACTGTATGTTGATTATACAAAAAACAATTTCTGCTATACATTTATGAATAATTGTTCATGTATTAAAAGTAGAAATTTTTTCCCATGCTGTGTCTTTTTTATTTGGTGTAATGTATTGGAAGGAGACTAAGTCTTAGTTCCCAATACTTCTACTTTTGTCCCTCTGTGATCTTTAGGAAGTCATTTGACCTCTGTAGTCTCAGAACTCCTATGAAATGAGGATAAAAGGCTCTTTGATATGGTAGAGATGGGCACTAAATTTAGCATTGATGGGCTTAATTTAGCCTGCCACCACTGGGCACTGGCAGTAGACTTATGAGAAAAATAAACATCTCTTCATTTATTAAGCATCCATTTAATTGTTTATATAGCCTTAGAAAGTATAGTTTGTGTTCTGGTTTGCCATTGCTTCTTCAGTCAGGAGATATCTGTTGACTATTTTATGCAGGGAGAAATGGAAATGTTTGGAAATAATGTTTAACAAGTGTAGCTTCTCAAGGAATTGTATTCTTTGGAGAGATGAAACTTTCTCCAAATGCTATTCATACCTTGAAACAGTAAAGTTTTAAGTTGGCTGTGTGGTCTCTTCTTAGGATGTCATCAGTATTACTGATGGTGATTTAGTGTTGTGACAGTCTAGCCTGTCAGGTCAGTGTGGCATGAAACTCCTGAGAAGACTAAGAAAGCTGGGAAGACAGGTAAGGCCACGTAGCATTTTTCATGTAGGATCAAGCACAATGATGCACCCAGTATTTAGCACTTTGAGTAGGCCTGAACAGACTGAGAATGTAAATGCTGAACTAGAGAAAACAGTAGTTGTTTTATCGAGCATTTCAACAGAAATACTTCCTCATCCTTCTCTTCCTATGCAACTTTCCTTCAGTACTTCTTTCCAATATTAGGGAAAAGACTTTACTACTATTGCATCAATTACTGTTTTTGTTCTTCAGCTCAGGAATTAAAATCTACAGAAGGAAAAAATCACCTGTTGGCCAAAGATGGTAGCAATCCTAATTGTATTTCACCTGATAGTGATTTTTGTTGGAGCGATCATACCAGTTAAGGATCTATAGAGTGCTGGGAGAAAAGTGTTGTAGACATCAGAAACCATAGTACTCATCTCCCCGTTCTTTGCTTTAGGCTTTGCAGAGGGCTAGCATTTTATAATTTGTTCCTAGGTTTTTTTTGTTTGTTTGTTTGTTTTTTAAACTCAGCAATTTACAATTCTAGTCTGTAATCCCAGTGCTGGAGAGACAGAGAGAGGCAGACGCTTGGGGCTTGCTGGCCGGTGAGCCTAGCCTGTAGGCCAGTGAGACACCCTGGCTCAAAAGGAAGGTGAATAATACCTGAGGTTGTCCTCTGGTACACACACACACACACACACACACACTTTGACACTGGTTCAAATATTGTTCTGTAATTTGACTAGTTAACATTAATGCTTCATCTTTGTGCAGAGGGATTAAATAGCAACAGAGGAAATAGGAATTTTCTTGTAGCTCAGTAGTTTATAACATCATTATTCAAATACACATTGCCTAATATTTATAATTCTATAGAAATGGTCGATTCTGAACGATTCAGTGATATTATCAGCTATGATAATTTGTCTTTATTTCCATTTGTTGATCTCGTTTCCACTTTTCTGTCCTGATTCCATTTCAGTGTAGTATTGTGGGAAGGCAGCATCCCTGCATTTTATCCCCAGCTTCATAAGAAAATTTTATGCCGTCCTCAAACTTCAGCTCAGATTCTCTGAAGCAGGAAAGCTAATAGTATCTACCTGCAAGGACTGGTCAGGCACCTATATGAAGTCTGCAGCACAGCTCCTGCTGTAGAATGACTTCACTGTATTTGGGTAGTGATAATGATTATTTTTCTTCTTTTTAGAACTTCTTCTTTAGATCTCTTTTCCAAGAAATGTAGACATGATCAAAGTTTCTGAGCATTTCTTTTGTTTTTTCTGTTTGTTTTGTTTTCTTTTTTTAAGACAGGATCTCATTCTCATGTAGC